CGATCAGAAGTAGTGTCAACCAAATTTGGGGACATCGAAGGGTTAGAGGTCTCGTATCCAAATGCCTCTGGTCATTTTAAATCCGTTAGCAAGTTCCTTGGCGTACCTTTCGCCGCTCCACCAGTTGGAGCGCTAAGGTTTAGACCACCACAACCGCCGAAGAGTTGGAAACCGAAGGTGTATCTGGCCAAAAAACATGGAAACATCTGCGTACAACCGAATTATTTGGAAAAATTTATCAGGTCTGTGACTCCAAATTTCACGTACAGTGAGGATTGCTTATATCTCGATATCTACAGCCCGAATACCAGCCTCAGTTTGCCAGTGATGGTTTACATTCACGGTGGAGGTTACGCCGGCGGAACAGCGATAGTGTCTCCCAGCGATATTTTGGCTCTTCATGGGGTAGTGGTAGTCATAATCCAGTATCGTCTAGGTCCCTTTGGTTTCTTGACGACCGGTGATTCGGAAGCTCCTGGTAACTATGGAATGCTGGATCAAGTAGAAGCTCTGAAATGGGTCCATGAAAACATTAAGTATTTTGGCGGGAATCCCAGCAAGGTTACCATATTTGGACAGAGCGCTGGAGGGTCCAGTGTAGGGCTTCACCTCTTATCGCCTCTGACACGTGATCTCTTTCATCAAGCCATTGCAGAAAGCGGTGTAGATTTAAGTTCCTTTGCGATTCGGCCAAAATCTTATGGTCCTCGTTTCACGAGAGAGCTTTCAAAAAGACTGAACTGCGGCTTGAGTAACCACCATGCAATGGTTTCCTGTATACGCGACAAGAGTGCTACAGACGTGCAGAAAGCCGCAGAATCAATCGAATTTGTGTTCACTAATTACCTCTGCTTGGCACCGGTGGTAGATGACCACTTTCTTCATGACACACCCCGCAACTTGAGGGAGAAAGGAGATTTTAAGCAAGTGCCACTTATTATTGGCTTTACCAGCAATGATGGGGCGTCTTTTCTTGGTTATATGGTCAACGATTCTTTTGGGCTAAACGAGAGCGTGGACAATGGAGTGAATCCGACTTTACTCAAAGCATCGCTATCCAAATTTGCTCGTGCTCGAACCAGTAGGTAAGTTGTATAGAGGCCTTCCCTTAGACAACTCGGCGATCTACCTAATCTCCCGACTTCTTCAATCACAAGGGCGAGAAGTATCCTGGTCCCAGAGGTTTTTCTTGATTTTCTTCCGCGTAAGGGAGAAAGAGTCGCGAAGAAAAATCTGGGACCCGGGTAACCGAAAAGATATGAGTATGAGAATGTCATAGAGTTTGATATTCCAGATGTTAGAGTGACCGTAGATTACAAGGCGGGGAGGGGGGGCGTACCTCTTGCATTGCATTATATTGTTATTGAGGCCCCTCTTACAACAGATCAAACTCTTAGGTTTTGACATCGTTTTCTAAGCACGTTGTAAGTAGGAGTTTTCAGCGAGCTTGTGGGGCCGTCGCGCGCTTATCACATGTGCTCCCCATGACGTATACTATCTGATAATTGAGCAGAATTTTATGAGACTGGTCACAACGTATATAGTCTGACGTTAGAGCCACCTTGTAGCACTGGCGGCCCAGACGTAGTGTCTGTCAATAACATGGACAAAATGGGATGAGTCGTCCAATCTCCCATGAACTAAAATAGTCCGGAAGTCAAAATATAACAAAACAAAGCTAACATACCTTTAACTGAACGTCTTCTTGTCTTTCCTGGTCGGTTAAGGTGGCATTTTGCGGAGTTTGGCACTCGTAGGTACTATCCACTCTAGAAGAATTAAATCTGGCTACATATATATATATATATATATATGGAGATACGTGTGGACGGGGCAGAAGCAACGACGTCAACGGCTACGAAAACGTCACTTGAAACTGAAGTGAGTTCGCGCTGCTTTAAACTTCATCACGCTTATTTTATCTCGTTCAATTCGACAATGTTGGCAAATTCTTCTGGACTTGAATTCTAAAGGACTGTGTCGAAGACCAGGAGAATAAAAAGAAAGTCGTTGTCTGGTGTTCCCGTTCTCCACAAAACGTGAAATTAGGCATTTTCACATCGAAATCGTGCAGTAACGGCAAAGAAATTTACAAATCGTGCAAAGGTGCTGTTTTATTAATAATGCCATTGCTTTATTGACGTTCTTGCTGTCGTCGCCGTCGTTGTTGCTAAAGTTCCCTAGTAACTAAACAAGCACGCGGCAAAACGGAATCTCTTGGTTAAATAGATACTAACTACGTCAGCCAGACAGAATGTGGGATTGGTTATGGGCCGGTTTGAGATTGACACTGGGTCGCTGTTGCGTCGTACTGCACTATGGGACTTTTTTGATGGAAGAATTTTGACCCAGTTTCCCGCGAAACGTTGCAATAACTAATAAAGCAAAAAGGACTCCAGAACAGTCCTATTGTGAGGGCATTGCAAAACATCACTGACTCAGTCCCAAACGCAACCTCAAATGGCCGATTAAATTCAAGTATGATTTCATTAAAAAACAAGTATTCTCTTTTTTTTCCAGCGGTAAGAGCGCTGATCTCATCACAGATGCATTGGAGTTCATGTACACCCCTTGGCCTGACAACAGTAATAAATACGCATTAAGAAGTCAACTTGTTGATCTTATTGGTGATAACCTTTACTTTGCTCCCAGTCACAAGGTCGCTGATGTTCACAGTCAGGTCGCTCCTGTTTACATGTATGAGTTTGCTCATCGGGCAAAAACAAGTATGGGTGCTGATTGGATGGGCGTGGTCCATAGCGAAAATGTTCCCTTTGATTTCGGAGTTCCTTTGCTCCCGAAATTTTTATCTCTTTATAGTCCCGCTGACAGAAATGTCAGTTTGCTTATTATGACCATGTACGCAAACTTTTCCCGGTCCGGCGATCCTACAGTCAGGGATGTTGCGTGGGACAAATACAATTCAAGTCACAGATTTTACATGCGAGTTGGCGTAAATCCTCGGATGGAGGCGTCATTTCATCCTCGTCGAATGTCTTTCTGGAATGATTATTACCCTAAGCTGATGCAGCTGAAGTTTGATATCGTTAAGGACAAAGTATTCGGCGGTGCTCATGCTATTGTTAATGTTGCCATGGGAAACGTTTTTCTGGTTTTATTTGTTGTTGTTTTGCTGATGTACTAGGATCTAGCCAGGATTGTGCAAGCAAAAGCAAAAACAAGCATAATATGTAGTAGTTATCTCTGACTGTTAAAAATGTTACTCTTATCTTTATGAACCTATAGGCTATGTTTTTCCAAATGCTTTACGATAGAAGCCAAAAACTACTGATTTGAAATCTTTGAACAAGAGGACGCTGTTTATTTTTAGATGATATTAACAGCTATTGCTCCTAATTTTTAATGCTTCTTTAAATCGCCGAAAGCTGGTTTTCAGAGTCGCAGTCGGGGTAGGCGTCGTAGGCGGGGCCGCGGCATAAGGGCCAGTTTAAGGTGCGACGACTACGGATTTCTGCTACGGGTAAACATGCTCAGTACTGCGCATAATCATTATCAACAAGCTACGTGACTGTTCATTTTTCGAGTGTGTTGTTGAGCTGTTTCGTGTAGTCGTGACTACAGAGTACAGTTTGCTCTCATTTTGCCGTTTCGCCGGTAATTCTAGAATCTCGCTTTTTCGTCTAAAAGGCTTCGATCCTCCTGCTTTGATTGAGAGGGTATCAAAATAATAATAATTATAATGGTTTATTCAAAGTACAGCCTCGTTAATACGGTCACCAATTTGGCCGTATTAGCGGGTGACCGTATTAACGAGGTTTTTTTCACAAGAAAATGTATGGTCGTTTTGCCGGGCGGCCAAAAAAAAGTGGCCGTAATAATGAGGTGGCCGTAAGAAGGGGTTCCACTGTATCCATAAACTAAAAATACGGCTCTTTATCTATGACTAACTACTACCGATAACCTAACCTACTAAGGCTACTCATCAATTGGTTATAAATTATCATTACTACAAAACTATGAACAGTGAAATGATAATAAGATGACCAGTTCCAAAATTAAAGAAAAGCTAGTGTAAAAGAAAAACTAATGAATAGGTCACAAAAATGAATACACCAAAATCTAATGAATAGGCCTCGCCCTTCGGCTTAGTTTTAAGGTGACTTGTCAACTGACTCTTAACATGACTAAATTCTGTGGAGTTCCAAATATGGTGTGGTATCGCATTGAAAACATTTGGCAGTGCTGTCTTGGAAGGTACCTGATTGTGTCTACTTTCTGCTCAATATGTGCTTTATACTCAATTGTGACTTCGATTTTATTTTGAAAAACTATAATTGTTCAAAAAGAAGCGACTTTAAAACATTTAGCTATAAAAAATTGCGAAAAAACTTTTCTTAAAAACATTAAAAAAGTCTGAAAATATACTACGTTTCGACGTTCTCAGAGGTCATTTTAAAGTACAAAATTCAGTATGAATGTCCTATAAATGGCTCATTAAAAAGAAAAGTAACATATAAAAAAAATGTTACAAGTTTTAAAAACAAAGAGTTTAGCACTGATTGAGTCACTGATTGAGTCACTCTGAGTGTTAAGTCTGGGCCTCAGTTCAGTTTGGTGAATAGGATTTACGGGGCAGTCAAATTTCCCGTGGCACTTATTGATAACGCGAAATTGACCCTCACTAAGAAGATGTGTGTCACCGTGCGCTTTAAAAAAATGTTTACTGGGCTTAAGACCTTGCTTTGCATTATGTATTCATTTACTTTAGTCAATTACAAGTGCATATAGGATTAGGTCTGTTCCCCAATCTCTCTCGGTGGGAAGTAGACCATGACTTAATTCAAATGAACTTAATAAAGGAAACAGTTTTTGGAAAGGTATCAGATCTGGCAGTCTTGAATTTGTTGCGATTTTACTTTATTAGCATTTACTTGTCTTTTTAGCTTATATCTGCTTATTGCTCTGAGCTCAGGAAAGGAAAGTTGAACTTCTCTGAAAGTCGGCAATAGTCCGTATGTTATTTTCCCGGCGGTACTCACAGCAATTTAAAATCCAACACCATATATATCTGATTCAATGAACTGAAGTTGGGCAATTGTGCACTGGGAAGCTGCTGTTTGATGGCCACTCGAGCAAATCATCGCAGTGAGTTCAGTATGCCCTTAATGCCCAATACCCAATTGCAAAAGCAACCTTTTAAAGTTATATAACAAACTGACGTATTTATTGTGTCTTGTTCACTTTGTTTTGCTAATACCCTTGTTCTGAACATTATGCCCATCCCTGTTTTATTGATCATGTTCAGGTTATTCAAACGCTTTTTTTATTTTTATTGCAGAAGCACAAAAAATTGGTAACCCAGCTTCCTGCCTACGGACACGTTTATCATTCCCTCATTTTCTTTCCAAAAATTTTATGATCCCCCACCAAGCCTAGGGAAGGCATCTCTGCCACAACTTTTCGTACAACCTCTGCATTGCTAACGAAGGAACCAACTCAATTTGCATGAATTAATCTCCATATCTTTAGCTTAATCTCGTCGAGGTGAGTTACATTAATCAGATTTTTAAGTACACATTAATTGTGATATGGTATTCGCAATGACCCGTAATCCCGCTCAGTGACGACGCTATCTTTAACCGGGACCCTATAACTTGCTTTCACCTTATGTCACTGAAATTTCAATGCACCAACATTAGTCACCTCCATTTCTCATAAAATCACGGCAAAATGCGGCATTCTCTTTCCAAAGACACTGCTTTTAACGGAGAAACAACTCCACGTCATACATTTCTTTGTAACGACCCGCAATGTTTGCCCCCTGGCAATCCCAGAATCCTGTGCGCAAAACATTGGTCTCCGATTACTGGAAAATCGTTCATTATTATACCATTTTTTAGATGTTCGAAAATCCTAGGAGAGACAGGCAAGCAAGAAATTTTACAACAAATGTTCCGAAAATTCTAGATCTCAAATCGTCTTCCGAACAGATATTTCCCGAAAATTGACGTTGGGTGCCCCTGAAAGGTGGATAGTGCTATTCACAGAGAAAATTACTATCTTAGGGACTTGTCAGAAATTAGGAGGGATGGGAGGGGGGTGGGAATTTTAGGCCATGTCCACACGTATCCCGAAATTTGTTTTTCCTCAAATATTTTTTTGCGGATGTGAAAATTTTCGCGTCCACACGCAGCGTATTCGAATCGTTTTCAGCCGTCCACACCGATTGTATCCGGAAATTTTCTGATTTGCTCTAGTGCCCAGTTCTTTTGCCGGAGAGAATCCTGAAATGAGCATGCGCATAATTGCGATTTAGGCGCCATTTCTTTCGCGCCATAGCTACTGCGAGGTGTAAACAGTCAAGGCTTGTAGTTTATCACTCGAAAAAATGTCTAAATCTACTGAAAAAGTCAAGAAAAAGTATGCTGATACATATAAATCGATCATTGTGCCATTGATAAAATTGTCCCACCATGCGCTTGTCCTTCCTGGTCGCGTCCAGAATCGCCTTCGGTGATGGTTCGCTCTTTTTTTGACTTTATGATGCCCACTGTTCTTTGATAACAATCTCAAAACATCCTGTCGATCTCTAATGTATTGGTTGTGTAAATGTATCACAGTTGCATTTATCTGAACGCATGATATCAAACTAGAAATCAGAGCAACTAACAAAGAAGCTACAACCTTGCTGTACGCCATGTTTGTTTATAATGCTCGCCGTGAAGACTGGATCCAAGAGAATGACGAAAGCGTATTCGAAAATTTCCGGATACGACCGTCCACACGTATACGTAAGCGTATCGGATGAAAAAAATTTCCAGTCTGGAGAGCGTTTTCAAAAATTTCCGGATACGGCCGGAAAATACGCTGGATACGTGTGGACGCAAGCCGTATTCGTAAAAAAAAATTTGCGTTTTCACAAACTTCCGGATACGTGTGGACGATGCCTTAAATTTGGGTTTGGAAATGAGGTGACCCATCCCTGCAATGGGAGTGAAATTTGCTAACCCTCCCGTTAACCTAAAATATCATGACCCTCGCCCTCTTGTACAAAAGATAAAATCTAGTTCTTGCAATACACTAGGGTGAGTCAGTATTATGAAAGCTCGAAACATATTTCTAATTTGTGCTTTGTAATGCCATATACATACATTTTAGATGACAGCATTAAGAATCCGACTCTGATTCTGACAGCTGATCACTCGACTCTCCTATTTCTCTCCTTTTACAAATAATAATAATAATAACATGTTTAAACAGGATGACCATTTCAGTTATAAAAACTGCTATCAATATGGGTCATGTATAAAAATAAATGAATAAAACGATAAAAACATTAATTATATATGAAACTGGGATACATTACATAATTATAATCAACGAAAAAAAGTAGCCTCCTAATGAACAAAACTACATACAATCATTAAAAAGGGTAGCCCCCTTATAAAAAAGGCCCTCTTAGTCAACTCGAGATTGACTTTATCAATAGATAACCTATCCTTAGACCTAGTGTCATAGTCATGAATATCATAAGTTCGCCGTCGAAAATCATCTGAGAAATAACTTGGAGCTTGTCCATCAAGACAATTCTTGACAAGTTTGACGATATGTTTCTCTCTTCTCGTCTTAAGAGGGTCCAAAATAAAGAACTTCCTTTTTCTTCTGTGGATGTGACCTCTAAATGATCACGGACACATTTGCATGACCCTCCCCCTTTTAACGGCCCATTTTTCATGACCCCTCCCTTTTCTGCAGTCTCAAAAAGTTGTGACCCTCCCTCTGTTTCCACCCCCTCCCAGCTGCTAATTTCTGACAAGTCCCGTATGGATAATTGTAAGGGTTGATTACCGGTGTCGCGTAATTTTTACGTTCGTAGGTGCGTAAAATAGAGGCAATACATGGAAGGTCGCTCGTAAGCATAAAAGTTGAACCTCGCTCAACTTAACGTTTAAGCTCAGCACTTTTTATCTTCCCTCGATTTTATTTACGTGATTAAAATTTACGAGCATCAACGTGCGTAGCCAATGAAAGCGTCCGTGGAAATCAACCTTAAGGGAAAACAATTCTTTTATCCATGCCACTATGTGGGTCCTTAAAAATTTTGCTGAGTATACACGTTTCTAAGGACCCTAAAGACCCACTTCCGTCTATTAAGTCGATGTGTGGGACGATATTAGGTTTTAGTTTCATGGCATTTTGCTTTTATTGATTGCATGATGAGTCATGATTTTTCATATAGTTCTCAAAAGACCTTTGTTAGTCAGTATTGAAACCGCCAGCCCAGTGAATAATATCATTAAAAAAACGCAGAGAGCCATGCACAATACAAGTTTCCTTTTGTTCTTTAAAATGTACACTCAGTGAATCCAAGGTGCTCCGGCTCGCTCACGTAATAAGAGTAAAGAAATTCGACAACTTCACCGGGCAACTTGAGTTGCATCTGTTGGGCCCACAGGGTGAAGATACGTGAAATGCAGATTTTTCTCATAGTTTGTAATAAATTGTTTTGTAACCTTTATAGAAATAAATTTTTATCAACCAGATTACATAGTCAGTAAAACGTCAATAAGGACCATGAGGGGTGCTCAATTTGTGTTCATGTAAAATATCGGCACTCTTTCACCATCACATGTACATGTATCAAGTTTGATTGACGTCAAGGATTTTAAAAAAATTCCATAAACAGACTCGCTGCGAGTTGAAAGGTAACTTAAAACTGTTGACTTAAGCTTCATTTGGCTAGTGTCAACAATTCAAGCTACATTGTAGGTCGTTTTTTGATATTAGTGAAAGAAACAGCTCTACAAGAAGAAGTGTTCAGAGATGCTGCTAGCAACGTTGTTTATCTTTTGTGCATGTTGGCTTCATGTTCGAGCAGAAATAGTGTCAACGAAGTATGGAGATATCGAAGGACTCGTGACTTTATATCCGAATGCCTCTGGTCGTTTCAAATCCGTCAGCAAATTTCTTGGCGTTCCTTTCGCCGCTCCACCAACTGGAGAGCTAAGGTTTAAAGCACCACAACCGCCAAAAGAGTGGAAACCAAAGGTTTATTCGGCTAAAACCCATGGGAGCGTCTGCTTACAGTTCAAACTTTCCGAAAACTTAATCAAGCTTTTTACTTCAAATTTCACTTTCAGCGAGGATTGCTTATATCTTGATATCTACAGCCCGAACATCAGCCTCAGTTTGCCAGTGATGGTCTACATTCACGGTGGAGGTTACGTTTTAGGAACAGCGATCACTTATCCCAGCGATATCTTGGCTCTCCAGGGGGTGGTGGTGGTCATTATTCAGTATCGTCTTGGTCCCTTTGGTTTCTTGACGACCGGTGATTCAGCGGCGCCTGGTAACTATGGGATGTTGGATCAAGTGGAAGCACTGAAGTGGGTCAAAGAAAACATCGCAAATTTTGGCGGGAATCCCAGCAAAGTGACCATATTTGGAGTGAGCGCTGGAGGATCCAGCGTGGGGCTCCATCTTCTATCGCCTCTATCACGTGATCTCTTTCATCAGGCCATTCCAGAGAGCGGTGTAGATTTAAGTCCCTTTGCGATTCAGCCAACGTCTTTTGGTCTCCGTTTCACAAAAGAGCTTGCACAAAAACTGAATTGTGGATCCAGTGACCATTCTGCAATGGTTTCTTGTATGCGCAGCAATCAGCTTTAGACATGCAGAAGGCCTCCGAGTCAATCAAATTTAATTTCATTAATTATATCTCCTGGGCACCAGTCGTAGATAAAAACTTTCTTCACGATACACCCCAAGTTTTGAGGAAAAAAGGAGAATTCAAACAAGCGCCGCTTATCATCACCTTCACAAGTCACGAGGGCGCGAGTTTTCTCGGAGACATGGCCAACAATTCTTTTGGGCTGATGGAGAACGTGGACAATGGAGTCAGTCCGACTTTGTTCAAATCATTTCTAACCGAGTTTGCTCAAGCTCAAGACAGTAGGTAAGTTCCGTTAAGATTTTACGAATGTTTGCTCAGTAGTTTTAATAGATGTAGTGACACTTTTGGAACTTATTAGTTGGTCTTCGTTTCACAAAAGAGCTTGCACAAAAACTAAATTGTGGTTCCAGTGACCATTAGGCAATGGTTTCTTGTATGCGCAGTAAAACAGTGTCAGACATGCAAAAAGCCGCAGAGTCGATCAATTTTTTTTTCGTTAATTATGTTTACTGGGCACCAGTCGTAGATAAAAACTTTCTTCATGATACACCCCAAGTTTTCAGGAAAAAAAGAGAATTTAAGCAAGTGCCGCTTATCATCACCTTCACAAGTCACGAAGGGTCGGCTTTTCTTGGAGACATGGTCAACAATTCTTTAGGGCTGATGCAGAGCGTGGACAATGGAGTCAGTCCGACTTTGTTCAAATCATTTCTTATTAAGTTTGCTCAAGTTCAAAACAGTAGGTAAGATCAGTGAAGATTAAATATTTGCTCAGTAGTTATTAAAGTACGGCAGAACCCCGCTAACTCGAAGTAAAACTCCCTTCCCCTGATCAAAAAAAGTCAGTGAAATTTACCCCGATAACTCGAATTCTGGTTCTTTTAACTACACTCGGATGTCATCCCATTAGCTCTTCTTGTTGTAAAGGGCCTGAAATCACTAAAACTAACACTGGCCACTATTAAAGGCAATTTGATTTAAATTGGTGAAACGAACAGATCATGTTTTATCATAAAAGTGCCTAATCATGTTACCGTTTCTGATGAAATAAGTGCACCTTACACTGAAGTACTGAGAAATCAGTAAATATCAATTTCTAACATGGCACATTGAATTTTTCAATCGACCCCAATAACTTGAATCCTCGCTAATTCTCTGAACTGGTTTTCGTTTCCCTTCTGAGTTCGAGTTACTGGGGTTCTACTGTAGATGTAGCCACACTTTTGGAATTTATTGACTGGCTCATAAACGTGGATTCTCAGCACAATAGCACCCAGCGTTTTAGACCTTTGCGTGGCTCCACAGGGACTTCGCTTCTACATTAGGCTGCTGCAGGGCAATTAAGCCTCTTGGAGCCCATAGATACACGTTTGAAGAAGGGGCGTTTTACCTTAAAGATAGAGGTTTCGATAGTTTTGCAGACAACGTGGACAAAACAAAATCGACTGGCTCGTTAGCACTCTTTTTCTTGAGATTTAATTTTGAATTGACTATTTGATTTCGGCTGAAAAATAGTGGAGATGTTGGGGTGGAGACGCGCGTCATAATCCGGGGGAGGGGACAATATTTGGGTATAGATGAGCCGCTGAGGGTTTAAAACCCTGGCCCCGTTTAGTACAACAAAATTCTAAAATACATACCCTGTCAGGAGCCGACGTTTAGGACACAGGAAAAAATGCACGCCGTCTTGTTTTTAAGCCATTTATTAGCAATTGGAATAGAGCAAATTCACGTTATAGTCATTGCTTCTGTATACTTGGAGGAGAAACAAATTTCATCCTGTTTACAATTAGGATAGGCCCGGATGAAATTACATACCCTGTTTGGGACAGAGCGGTCAAAAACCACACCCTGTCCAGAGGCAAATCCCCTTATAGGTCATATAACCTAGTACCCCCGCTGGGTCATAACAGGCCACCGACCATGTTTCTCTCTTGTGTTACATTAACATTTATTTGCAAGCAGTGTTTTACTTTCCCCTTCAAAATAAAACCAGTGAGGCATGTACCTCGAATTGCTTCACTCTAAATATCGGTCCTTTTTTTAGGAAGAAGATTGCTGATCTTCTCGCCGATGCCTTGGAGTTCATGTACACCCCCTGGCCTGACAACAGTAACACATACGCATTAAGAAGTGGACTTGTTGATGTAATTGGAGATAACCTTTTCGTTGCCCCCAGTCACAAGGTCGCTGATGTTCACAGTCAGATCGCTCCTGTTTACATGTATGAGTTTGCTCATCGGGCAAAGCCAAGTTTGGCGTTACGTGCAGAGTGGATGGGTGTTGTTCATGCTGAAAACATTCCCTTTGATTTCGGAGTTCCTTTCCTTCCCAAATTTTCGCCACGTTATAGTCAGGCTGACAGAAATGTCAGTCTATTTATCATGACCATGTACGCAAACTTTGCCCGGTCCGGCGATCCTTCAGTCAACGGTGTCGCGTGGGAGAAATACAACTCGAGTCACAGAGCTTACCTAAAAGTGGACACAAGTCCCAAACTGAAGACGTCATTTAATTCTCGCCGAATGTCTTTTTGGAATAATTACTATCCTAAATTGGAGCAGGTGAAGTTCGATGTCAATAAAGAGGTGGTTAGCGGTGCAAAGGATATTGTTACCATAGGAACTGCTCTTCAAGTTGTATTTGCTTTAATGTTATACTTAATTTACTAAGACCTTACTTTGTTTTTTTCTCACTCATTCAAGTTTATTAGAAGTGGATAAGACTAACATTTTCTTTAATGTTTATGAGCGGAAAGTAGAGCATGATGTATGTAGCCAAATTAACTAAAAAAAGTCAGCAAAGAAAAAGGGCGATTTCAGTTTTTGCTAAAAAGTTCATAACTGTTATTGAATGAAGCTGAAAATGATACGAGGAATTATGCAGACAGAGGATTATACTGATTAGTGAATTAATAGGGTACAGACTTAAAATGATTGTTGCTCCTGCAATTCAGATAACTATACATCGGTAGAGGATGTCTAAGGTTCGTACAATTCTACAATTGTTTTGGGCTCCATTAAATCCTAATTTTGCTTCTTCAAGTTTTGGCAGTCTTCATTGCATTTGGCCGAGCATTTAATTAGTATGTGTAATCAAATGGTGACGAGTGAAATTAGGGAATAATTTCACTCGCGTAGGCTCGGGAAATTATGAGGATTTGGACAAAACGCAATTGAAATTATTCCCTAATTTCACGAGTATACCATTTGATTACCTATTAATATCATGGGTGACGAATTACGTTAGCAATCTTGGATTTTTGACATGTTTATCCTGGATCGTATCGATCGAGAACTCCACTCTCTCAAATGTTTAGACCTTAAATTTGGCTTATAAAGTTCAGAATTTTGCGGCAAAATACCTGTTAGAATTCTTCTTGATGTTCTCTTGTTTGTTCAGGTTTTCTAAAGCGTCTTTTTGTGCCCTGACATCTTCATTCACGGCATTTTAAAACTTCGTCGCCATCTTGACACTGAGACGTACGGAATGGTTGCCATGCCAATTTTGTAATTACAAATTAACGCTGAAATTTCGCGCCACAATTAAGGAGTAATTCGTCACCTATGATAGTACTACTGTAATTTTAGCTGATCGCATTGCTCTGAAGGTACACTCACAACCTCTCTACAAAGGTCATGTGTCTTCAACGTCCACTTTTTCGGACGGACAGACCATAGATTGATAGACTCGAGTGTTCCCTCGTTTTCCTCAGAGAAAGTAAAGTGAGCGAATTGAGCGAGGACAGTGGGAAAATTTCAGTCCACGCGCTTGTCACCCTCCTCGACTGGTTTCTACCAATTTTTAATGACTAGTAAGTATTCTAAGAACAATAGAATCCCGGTAACTCGAACTCTGAGGGGAAACGAAAAACAGTTCGAACTAGCGAGGGTTCGAGTTATCGGGGTCGATTGAAAAATTCAATATGCCATGTTAGAAATTGATATTTACCGATTTTCTCACTACTTCAGTGTATGGTGGAGCACAAATTTAATTATTTTATCAGAAACGGTACGATAACATGATGAAGCACTTTTATGATAAAACGTGATCTGTTCCTTTTACCACTTTAAATCAAATTGCCTTTAATAGTGACCAGTGTTAATTTTAGTGTTTTCAGACCCTTTACCACAAGAAGAGCAAATGGGATGGCATCCGAGTGTAGTTAAAAGAACCAGAATTCGAGTTATCAGGGAAAATTTCAGTGACTTTTTGATCGAGTTAGCAGGGAGCTCGAATTATCCGAGTTCGAGTTATCGGGGTTCTACTGCGGTGATTCGCTTTGAGTACCAACCCCTGTAAACGTAGGCCCGAGCCGAAACTTTTGTCATTGTGGGGATGTGCCGCTGGGACCTATAAAACCTACACTTGAGTATCCACTTAAGTAGGTCACTTACGAATCCGTTATGGGTACACTTACGGGTGTTGCATGGAACGCACTTAGCACTCTCGTAAGTTTCTGTCTTACGTGGTAACTTACGGGCTCGCTTAAAGGCACACGTAACTTTGATATAGTACTTCATTAATGACTCATTCTTTTTTTTTTAAGCTAACTATCGGTGAGTGTAACGAAAGTTTCAAGTCGTTTCGAACACTTTTAAGCCTCTCAAAAAAATGAAATTTGCATGCAGACGTTGTTTTTCTTCAATGTCTACTGAAAATGATAGTTCTTCTTCTTTTTTCACAACGTCGGCTTTAAAGTGTACATCAGAGGTTAACAAAGCGCATTAGAACGAATGACGTGAAGAAAAATACTCTTTTTCACTTCTCAGTAACAGATCTCGTTAAGTTTAGTAATAACAGTAACGATACGGGACCTACATAGGTCCCGTAAATTTACGTGCTATTTTTCTCCGAAAAAACGTTTTTATGCCGAACACCCGCAATTTCTGTTGCATAAACGACACTTAAGTGAACACTTACAAAAATCGTAAGTGCAACCACTTAAGTGAATTCCCTAATTGGACCACTTAAGTAATTTAATGCAACTGACTTAAGTTACGAGTGCACGTATGCGTACCCGTAGTTGTTACGAGCGTTTTATTCAACCGGGCCCTGGAACCCTTGGCCTACACCAGAGCTAGTTCAGTGAATTTTGCTGCCCTATACTAGACTAAACTTCCCAAATCCCCCCTATCCTAGAGTACCTTTTAGGCTGAGTTGCATAAATTTAAACTTGCCGATTTGATTTTTTTTTAATTTTTGAGAGGCAATTCCCGGTTTCCCTAGTCTAGACTAAAATCTTCAACCAACTGATCTGTTTCATGCAAAATGATACCCTACTCTAGACCAAAACTCTCTGATTTATAAACCCTATCCCAGAGTAAACTGCTTGAAAACCATACCCTTCACAGACGCACATACCTATGTAGCCCATATGTGGCAGTACCCATCCCCCGGGGTTCCAAAACAGCCTTGGTCGAAGCCACTTCAATTTAACTTTAAATTAGGTTAACGCTTGCGCGACGTTTTAATCTTATCTTTGCTTGCCAAGTGAATTTAATTAAAATGTATTTAATTGGGATCTATTATTATTCGCTATGAGGTACCACGAGCCCTGTAACCGTAGCCCTAAACTTACGTCATTTAGAGACTTCAGGGATTGATGCGATCTCAGAAATCCAGGGTTTGTAGATGGCTGCCATCATATGTCATATCATACTGTCAAGAATAATGGACCTTCTGGTCAAGCACGATTAAATTAAGTTCGACGTTTGAATGAACTATTGAGCCAAAGTTGAGCGTATAAATTCTGTTAACTCGATACTTCAGAAGCACGACTTCTGAAAAAAAAAACGGCTAGCGTAAAAATGATGGCGATGATGTCAGTTATGGGTGTGTCAGTGATTTTGCTGATTGCATGATCTGTCGTGATATACTGTATTCATATGAGTTTTATTTCTAATTAAACTTCCCACTTAATGAATTGTATCATTTAGACCCATGTCAGCTTGCCATTGTTCTCTAAATTGCGCAGTCATCGAATCCGACGAGCGCTCGATCGGCAATCACGCAGTAAACTAATTAAATTAAAGAGGTTTTAGAAGGTACACTGTAGCTAATTCACGGTTAAGGTAAAATGCTTGCACTACTTTAGTTTCTGATCTTTTTTTTACAATTTGTAGTAAATCAGCTTCTAACATTTTGCGAAATATGTTTCATAAGTCATATTGCATGGTGAACAAAAAGCAGATAAGGGGTCTTTAAATAGTGCATGTTGTTCGAATGACGTCAGGATTAAAATGGCCCGCTGCTCGGAGATGAAAATTAATTTAGGATTGTTCATTTGACCCTCATTTAGCTAGTGTCAACAAGTCAAGCTCTGCTGCTTTTTGATCTTGGTAGACTAAACAGCTCTACAAGAAGAAGTGTTCGAAGATGCAACTAGCAACGTTCTTTCTTTTTTGTGCATGTTGGCTTCATGTTCGAGCACAAACAGTGTCAACTAAGTATGGAGATATCGAGGGTCTCGTGACTTCGTATCCGAATGCCTCTGGTCGGCGTTCAAATCTGTCAGCAAATTTCTTGGCGTTCCTTTCGCCGCTCCACCAACTGGAGAGCTAAGGTTTAAAGCCCCCAAACCGCCAAAAGAATGGAAACCAAACGTCTATTCGGCTAAGACACATGGAAGCGTCTGCTCTCAGTCCAAACTTTCCGAACACTTTATCAAGCCTTTTACTTCAAATTTCACTTTCAGCGAGGATTGCTTATATCTTGATATATACAGCCCGAACATCAGCCTCAGTTTGCCAGTGATGGTTTACATTCACGGTGGAGTTTACGTTATAGGAACAGCGATCACTTATCCCAGCGATATCTTGGCTCTCCAGGGGGTGGTGGTGGTCATAATCCAGTATCGTCTAGGTCCCTTTGGTTTCTTGATGACCGGTGATTCAGCGGCTCCTGGTAACTATGGAATGTTGGATCAAGTGGAAGTACTGAAGTGGATCAATGAAAACATTATGAATTTTGGCGGGAATCCCAACAAGGTCACGATATTTGGAGAGAGCGCTGACGGATCCAGCGTGAGTCTCCATCTTCTATCTCCTCTGTCACGTGATCTTTTTTATCAGGCCATTGCAGAGAGCGGTGTAGATTTAAGTTCCTTTGCCAACGTCTGTTGGTCTTCCGGTCGCTAGGGAGCTTGCACAAAAACTAAACTGTGGTGCAAGCGACCACAACACAATGGTTTCCTGCATACACAACAAAAGAGCTTCAGACATACAGAAAGCCTCAGAGTCAATCAAATTTGACTTCTCTAATTATCTCTACTGGGCACCGGTTGTAGACAAGTACTTCCTTCTTGATACACCCCAAAGTTTGAGGAAAAAGAAAGATTTCAAGCAAGTGCCACTTATCATCGCCTTTACAAGTCACGAGGGGGCGACATCTCTCGTAGATATGGTCAACAATTCTTTTGGGCTGATGGAGAGCTTGGACAACGGAGTCAGTCCGACTTTTTTTCAAATCACTTTTAAGCAAGTTTGCTCAAGGTCAAGGGTTCGATCCTCCTGCTTTGATTGAGAGGGAAGCAAAATAATAATAATGATAATTATAATAATTATTATGGTAATATTAATTATAATGGTTTATTTAAAGTACAGCCTCGTTAATACGGTCACCAATGGGCCAAAAAAATTTGGCCGTGTTAGCGGGTGACCGTATTAACGAG